AAGAATGGAGACTATATAATTGATTAATAAAAGTGTTATCTCTAAAATATAATCTATTGAAGTTTATATTTAAATCGGGCACGAACTTATGCAATCACCTGATATATTTTGAGAATGTTATATATTATTATTTTAATATTATTATAAAAAGCAAGATAGATATTGTATATATGTATGTTTATACAACATACGTATATAGATATAATTTTATAATATAAGATTGAAACATTGCTAAAGCTTAAAATCATTTCACTAATACAGTGTGTAATTTATATAAAAGCATATTGTTACATTATACATAGATGCAAATAATGGATTCACATACTATTGCTAAGAAAGAAAGAGAAAGAGATAATCTGTTCAAATTTCTACACATAAAATTTAATTCGCGTAAAGAAAAAACTTACCCGATTACAATTATGAAATGCTCTGCAACTCGTCTCTTTTCCATTTATTACTGGCATCGTGAATGAAATTGTCCGTATCCGATACATAATGTCGCCAGAACTACCCGATCTCTTTTCATTTTTGTACGATAGAAACGACGGCCAACGGCCAACGACCAACGATCGTCGATGATTTTCACCATGTCGGAGCAATAACCTGCAAAGCGAGACGTAACCTTGTCACAGTATTTCGCCGGGAAAAACGGCCGAGTCGCGGAGTTCCGTGTCCTTGCAGTGGATCGCTCTCGCGTCGATTATTACCGTGATTTTCAGAATGCGCTTTATGCCGCAATCCACTTGCAAAACCTATTGCGCCAAGACTTAAAATATATACATAGACGCCTATATACACGATACATAACAAGGAGACGGTTAAAAAGGTATTTACATTTACGCTACCGCGAAACAATGGCTGACTTCAATTCGATTATTAAGAGGAGATCACTTCACATGTTCACGATATAAAGTAAAAAGAAAAAGGATGATCTTTTTACCACGCTCTTTTAATTTTGGAAAATGCTTAAAAGAAGTTTTGAAATTATGTAGGCGTCGCAAATTTTGTTATTTTTCGGATTTTAACTATTTATAAATTTTCTTACCCGTAGAAAAGAAGATTTGAACGTGACACTTGACATCTGACATCGCGCACCGCGCATCGCGCATCACGCACAAAAGTCGAAACATGTTGAATACAGTCGATTATCGAATTCCTTAAATCTAATTGTGACGAACCTACTGCCATCTACCGCGATTATAAATTGTAACTCCAATAGCAACGCTGAGAGATTGTGGTTATGTCAGGTTATGTTTTCATAATCATACCTTTCCAAATTGTTTCACAATCAAAGTATACAATAAAAATTGATAAGAAATGAATTTTCTTAGTAGACAGTATTTCAGAATTTTACAGAGCAACGTTAAAAATCAGAATGCATTGTGCAATTTCAGCAGAGCTTTCAGCTTCAAAAGTGAAATATCACTGGAGAAATTGTATCCGGAAAGCAAGCTGAAACTGCATACACCAAGCTTTGTTAGTATACATATCGATTCATTTTAAAAATAATTGCATAATAAACACAGAATTGATTTTACTCTTATATTGCGATACTTGTGTATTTATCTAATAATACGATACCTTGCTATGCCTTGAATAACAAACTCAATGATCACTAAGCAAAGATTATTGTTCCTTTTGTTTTTCAGGTGCCAGATCCTAACACAAAATTTAGTGGTTATATACCCATGGACAAAATAAAAATAACATACAGTGCTAGCAGTGGTCCTGGGGGACAAAATGTAAACTGTGTAAATACCAAAGTAGACTTAAGATTCCAAGTAAGCAGTGCTACCTGGTTGTCACAAGAAGTTCGAACAAAATTAATAGAACAGGTAAATAGCACTATACGCATTGCCTATAAGTGAAATCTTCATTATTCAACATAAATAATAAATTAATGCACAATAAAATTTTTATCTGAAAACTAGATAAAAATAGCTGTTCCTTAGGTATATAAATTTATTATTTCAGTGTAAAAACAAGATAAACAAAGATGGGTACTTGATAATCAAGTCAGACTTAACGAGATCTCAACATTTAAACTTGGCGGATGCTCTTGAAAAGTTAAGAACAATGATAAGGACTAGTTTAGTAGAGCCACCAAAACCATCACCTGAATCGTTAGAAAGAAGAAGGAAAAATCTCCTAAAAGCCACTAGGGAGAGACTTCACGAGAAGAGAATTCGTTCGCAAATTAAACAGAGCAGAAAAGTCCCTATGTCTGACTTTTAAATCGATTAATTTATTTATATAATCAATTGATTAAGTTACTTATCAAATATTGTACAGTTATACATAGGAATAAACTATAAATAAAGTAAAAAAAAAAGGAATTTTGAAGTATTATATATATATACAATGCAATTATGAATCTAAATAATCTGTAAAGTTGCATAATGGCTCTCAAATGTTCAGTTAGCATGCGATTATCAAAGCTGGATGCAATACATACTTTAATTTTTCTTCCAGAAAATAGCATGCTTTGTAATAATTTATCGAATTATATTTTACGCGCGGAAAATTGCACTTTGAGTTTTTTTATATATATTGCCATTTCTTACACTTGAGTAATTTAATATTTGTAAGTTTAGAATAATCTAAAATTTGTAATAAAATTGGATTTTATATTACTTTTAAAGATTAAATTAATTGCCTCGCGCTTCTTATTCGTGGTAAGTATGTATGTATGTATGTACAAATGGGTTTCTATGGTAACATTTGCCACAAATAAGAAAGCACGTAAGAATACACGGTGAAATCTGCATATCTCAATTACAGTGGTTGAGCACTGACTTTTTCCTGCGAAAATGTCCTACCGTGATTTACGTAGTACGTATTATATTAATATTGTATATATATATATGCATTAATGACTAAGTAATAAATTTACGGATTTTTGCATTATCGCCTTTACTGCAAATAACGATGAGAAATCTTAATTCCATAAAAAATTAATCTCTACTATTGCAAAAATAATGGCAATTGACTAGGCTTACTCATCAAAATGATATTAAACAATATATATTTTAAAAGATTTGATAATACATACATACATATGTGTGTGTGTGTGTGTGTGTGTGTTATAAACATATAATGATATATTAGAGATGTTGAAGCAATCTCAATAATTTAGAATAATGAAAAAATAAATTAAATTAAATTTGTAGTGAAATTTTTACATGATGAACATAATAGCATTAATATCAGATATTAGTGCAGACATTTAATTTTTGTTTAAAGTTTAATCATATTATACGATTAATGGCTATAGTTGGCGATACAAATAATTGGAAGCAAATATTGGTCTATATCAATTAAAAATGAATGACGTTGAATAGCACTAACGAGCATGTCGCGTATCTGTATAAATCGCGGATACTCGCTTGCAACCATAACGCATATACATTAGAACGTTGGAGCGCACATTCTACCTCCCTCTTTCTCTCTCTTTCTCTATCTATCCATCAAGTTGCGATCACGCGCCAAATTGTGCAATCCGCTAATCTTTTTCTTCTTAGATCTCGCGAAAGACTATTCGCGTGGAATAGGTATTCGTTGTTCGAACACAACGATGATAATGACGACGGTTGTCCCGTTATCTAACCCGACGCGCGAAATCTTACGCGACGCTACATACATGGCGTTGCGTCATCCTCCCTCCTTCCTGCGAAAAAATGTCCTACCGTGATTTACGTAGTACGTAAAAATGGCATAAATTTATTATTTCTACATATATAATTAATGCGTGAAAAATACGCAGGAAATTGTAACGCGCGACTTACATCTCTTTTGTTCCCTTACGTAGATTTCACAGAGATGATGAGAGTGCTGGGCTACCCGAGACTAATTTCCATCGCGAATTTTCGCGTACCGAATTTTCCTTTGGTCGCCGAGATCCTAGTTTGGCTGGTGAAACAATTTGATCCAGATAACGATATGCCCAACGATCATGATACCGAAGAGCAACGCGTGGCGTTGATACGAAGTGTCGCTGAATTTATGGTAATAATATTTAAACATAGCACACAGCAATAATGATGATTTTTTGAAAATTGTTTCTTTTATTTGTTCTATAAACTAGCCAAGTGTCTCAATTAAATTATTATTTATTTTAAAATATATCGCTTATATTTTCAACTCTCCAATTCTGGTGGATGATCATCTTATGCAATATAGGCATTGAAGACAAATATCAAATTAAACACAAAGAAGCTGTATCAAGCCGATGGTTACGCGGTGAAGGAAATGTTGAAAATTACAACGATGCTGTACGATGCTCAAAATAGTTGTAGCATCGAGGAAAATCGATCCGACAATAATCAGAGTGTAGTGAATTTCGACATATCCGATAAAATTAATGAGCTGAAAACGACGCGACAGCTCGCCAGTCAATTGACTATCAACGGGGCGACTCTCTTCGATTTACTTGGCCGAGAAATGGAGCTTCGAGAGATTCGCAATACAAAAATTGCCAGGGAATTCGACACCTCGGAAATAGAAGCAGCTTTGAAAGACGTTATCGCGAATACGCATAAAGAGATTGACGAAACCAAGAAGCAAATTGAAAATGTCAAGGTATCTTATAAAATAAATTATCCTCATGAAGTTTAAGTTGGCTGTTGGATCTACAAATATTTTGTTATTTTTTTCTTGTATGTGTGTATCAATAGTAATTTTATTAGTTGATAAATATATAATTTATTTCTTAAATAAATGTGTATATATATATATAAAAGGATACGGAACAAAACCTAGATGTGAGAATCGAGAGACGGCGAACGGAACTCGATAGGAATCAAAAGAGACTCCACACATTAAAGAAAGTCCGTCCAGCGTTCATGGAGGAATTCGAAAAGCTTGAAATTGAGTTGAGAGCTTTATACGATGATTATTTACAGAAATTTCGTTATCTGGCATACTTAGAACACTTGTATGAAGATGCGGCCAAAGCAGAGCAAGAAAGATTCGAAAGACGGTATATTGTCATTATAAATATAAAAGTAGAAAAAAGTAAAACTAAATATATAAAGTAAATTATATAATTCTATACAATTTGTTATATTATTTTCGATTGCAGACAAGCTGCAACCAAGAAGCAATTGGAGCAAATGAGAACCGAAGATTCAAACTTTGAAAGTATGATGGAAGGGAACGATTCCTTATTCGCTACAAATCTTCAAGAACCATTAGTTACTTCGCTTGCAAATCCAGAGACCGCGACAACGGAAAAATCTGGCCAATCCGCCCATGTCAAACCAAGTAATAATAATTTTTCTAATATAATAAATAACTTTAGCACATTATAAAATACCACAAATTTTAAAGAAAAACTTACAAATTAATAAAATATTTGAAAGAGAACATAATATATATATATATATAAAGAGATGAAAAGAAAGTAATACTTTTTGTAAGTTTTTCGGAATAACAAATCAAAGATATTTCAGGCACTGGGAAAGCATCGAAGATGCAATATACACAGCGGCGCATTTACGGTAGCATGTCTGGACGGCAAAGGGGTACGATTCAAGAATCAAATGACAGCGACGGCTCGTTGGACAGCGATAGCGACTTATTAATCGACGGTGATCTTGACGATGACGATGACGATGATGACGATCTTTTGAATTCTGTAGGTGCACCGGATATCGGCGGATATGACCTTAAAGCTGCCCAAGAAAAGCGATCTGTTAGTAAGATAGACAGACATTCGGACGATGATTTTTAATCAATATAATGTGGTCTCTCTGCTAATCGTCAGCATGTTTTCTATAATAGTAGATAGAAATTGTATATATGCAAGAAAAAAATATATATTTATAATGAGATACATAAAGTGCAACATATAGAAATAAAAATATAATAATTTATGATTTTATATATGTTTGAGGGTGGTTTCGAAAATAAAAAAAAGAAATACAATGTCTTTTTCTTATTTAATAAACAAAAACCACACACAAAATGAGTTCTAACTTATTTCTCCACGTAATCTGCAATTAGATGTAGGCATTTGTCTCAGCGTTACCACTTTTAAACGTTCTTGTATGTGCATTAAACTCTTCTGTACTTTACTTTTGAAACTTCCCTTGTACATATATATACTCTTATAAACAAATGCTCTTAACATTAATATATTAATAAAATTTACATAAATAATGCAATTTGTAGTTTTTAAATAATATGCAACAAAGATTCAAGGAAATCGAAGTATATATTTTTTTGTCCTAATATCATATTTATTTTCGTCAACATAATCGTCGATGTCGACACATTGTAAATTGTAGCTCATCGATCACATGTAACTTAGGTCTATCGTATATGCCCATGTACGTGTGTCCACGTATGCACATGCGTCCATGTATACACATATATACATAAACTTGTGTAAGAAACGCGTAAGAAACACGATCCTTTATATATTTTAACAAAGATATAGAAAGATTTTGCTAGACGTCGGCCACAGCGGCATTCGGCAACGGTATGGCTATCCCGATTCTGTTGCCAATAATGTTTCTCTTATTATCTGGTAAGTTGTACCTATTTGAAACATTTTATCTTTCTACCAAATTCACTTGTGCGACTTCATCATCGGCCTATGTTTGCTTGTGTGCGTACAACGAAAATGTTTCACTGTTTATTGCTTAAATAATGTGGTCAAAATAATAAATCAGGTAATAATTTTGCACAGCAAATTCATAAATATATATATGTCCATCTTTTTAAAAAAAATTTTTTTAAATTTTTATAGATTGTAAAAAATATTTTTTATTAAAAATTCATTATTTTAATATTTTCGATATATATATATTTTTTTTTTTTTGCTCAGAATTCTGCAACTTAATCCACCATATTGATTGTTATTGAATTACATAACAATTTATCATATTACAAAATATGATCATTCACGATTTTTGTATACTGTGATGTAAAAGAAAACATATTGCACACATGAATAAAACAAATAATTTCAGATTTGTTATAAGATCTTGAAAAGAAAAAGTATTATGTATATGACTATTAGTATACCTCTCTGTTTAAATAAATTCACATCCTTTCAACATTGGATTTCTTACAAATTTCCGACGGATTGTATCGGAAATAATATTTTTTCGAGAACATTGCATATCTCCTAGGCTGTCTCTGCAGATCGAATGTCTAACACTCTCCTAAATACATATTATACATATATCACTATGCTAATTATTGATTCTATAGATATGCGTAAGATACATTGTGCGGATTTACAAATATTAAAAAAAAAAAAAAAGATTTACTCTCTCTTGAAACAATAGGGTACAATAGGGTTATTATCTAAATCTTGCTCGTCGTTTATCACCAGATGCTTTTTTTTAGCCCGTGATTTAGGCCCTCTGTAACAATCCTCCTTAACAATAATACAATTTTTCGCAAATGATCACATTTGCTGATTGAATAAAAGAATTAGAGAGATACATATACAAGAGTTTGTATAAAACTGTAAGAGAAAAGTACCACTGTATAGCGTCAAGACAACTCGATCGACTTGTGGCAACTTGTCTCCAGATTTCGCCAGCTATGCAAGAATCCATCACGTAGAAAAATATGATTAATCCGTGTCTCGATTAAAGCGTGTCTTTCCTTTTCTTTCTTTTTGCTTTTTTTTTGTTTTGCGGTAATCTCTATAAATTCCCATATTCCCCTCCGTTTTACAAATTTAAAAACAGTCCATCGAGAATCTTGTAAAAAAGGATAAGAGCCCGTTTAGCTCAGCTTTATTTTTAAAGAACTAAGGACCGCTGTAGTTGTAGAAATAGGTCCTTGCGATTTTTGGTGTACCGGTGAAATTGCCAATATCCCATAGGATCTCGACGATAGTCTTTCGCTACCTGATCGATTTGCCAAGCGGGCTGAGTTTAATTCGAGGCGTCAATACTGGGATCGGATCGAGTTCCGGGAGCGAGCACTCGGCACGCAGCTCCATCCATGTCTTGTCGACATTCGCAGCGAGCCGATCTCTGTACTTGTAGGCCGTTCTATCGACCGTCGACTGCGTCTTAATGCAATCGTCACCGCCAAACTCACAGACACGGTAATGGTGCAGGATAGCAGCATCGGACGGCACATTCAGAGTTCCATGACCTGGGATAAACTCCCATACAAAATGATTGCCCGCCTCGACTACGTCTTGCGGCTTGCAAATATACTTGGAACGTTGCTTGTGCGGATGCAACTTGGTCCTGCGTCGCGTTTTCCTCAGAGTGATCAAACCGGCTTCGGTGGGTGTGCGGCTAGTTACCACGAATGGATCATCGGCCCATTGCAGATAAAAGAAAGCGTTTTGAAAGGAAAACGCACCTGTGGACTTGACATTGATCCGATTTCCCATCCACCTAGGAATCAATTTGTTGCAAAATTAGAGCATGTTTACAGCAAATTCAAGACTCTGTAAATTTAAATTATTCGAAAACAAAATTAATTTTTCGGTTACAGATATTAATATAGAATAATAATTTACAACATTTTACTAGCGTTTCATAAGATGTTTTTTAGAATCATTATAAATAAAAGTTTATATAAACCATAGATGCGCAGAAAGTATAGACTGTGCATATCTTATGTTATATGATGTTCTTATATGTTATATGTTATCTAATAGCAATTCGTGCGTCAAAATTAGAAAAAGAATGCAATGTTTTGGAAGTATGTTTATTTTTTTTAATTATAGAGAAATTGTTCCCATAGTAATCATAGTCTTATGTTTGAGAGAGAAAAACCAAACTTCTGAGACATTGCATTTTTTTTCTAATTTTGATGCAACATTTGTTTGGTACACGCAATCTACATTTCGTACGTCTATGATGTAAACACACACAGATCTTTTTCCAAATATCTTTAAATTAAATTAAAATTCTCAGAAATATGCCATTTAAAACAAAAATAGCTCATCTTACATGCACGGGATATTCAGATGTAATCAATATATGCATTGTGTGGTGTACAATAAAGTAATTAAATCGAATTTATTTCTTATTATATATATAATGTTTCTTTCTTAAATTTCAAAATCTTATAGCTCCATAAAAAGAGAATTTGATGCTTAATTTTGTTTTATTCAACATAATTTTATTTTAATCAAAATAATTCTATAAATCATTCATCTTCAAAACATAAAACTTTGTGAATCGCCCTATATATGATATTTTTAATAAAAATTGAGAGAATTCTAAAAACGAGTAACATGTTTGAAGTAAACAATTATTTAATATCATTGTTAACTTGTAAGAAATATATAAGAAAATAGTTTATAAAAATCGATATCGAAATAAGAAAGCATCGTACCGTAGCAGATCGATTATGGTGTCGTTATGCCTCGGTATGATATATTCATCGAGATCTACAAGTGCCACGTATTCATATTTGTACATAGATCGGTAGAGGCAATCATTAAGCGCCGCAAAGAGACCCTCCGTACGAATCTCTCGTTGAGAAATCATGTCAAGATGATGCCACGGCAATACTGTAACAAGATCCTTGCTCTCATAATATTTTAGCGCGCAACCGGCTGCCGCGCCTACAGTGTCGTTATACAGAGTGACGTGGGTAGCGCCCAAAAGTCTGTGCAACTCGATAAACTCCACCAATTGCAAAACCTAAACATAATATAAATATCAATTAAAATATGAAATATTTCTCGTGTACTCACTTTTCTATTAGTTTAAAGTTTCACAGCATAATGAATGGAATTGATTGATGATTCTATTATTATATACACAAATGCAGTAATGCATCTGCAAATATACATACATATACATATGTATACATATATACACACATACACACGCACAATGCAATCCTCCGTTTTTAACAGACTGGCATGCAAAGGCAAGAGAAATGATAAATATAAATATAAACACAGATAATGACAAGCATAAAGTACAAACGACAAAAAATGTAAGAATATTCTCCGCCTGCAGATACAAACATCACCAAACATCCACCATCTGATGCTATTGCTCTATACGTACTCTGTTGTAATAATAGTGTAAAGGTTTGACGCAAACAGCCAGAGCATCTTTGTCGTTCATTCTGCTCTCGAGACGATTCTGGATGAGAATACGATTTGTCGGGACAGCTCGCAATCTCGCTACAACACTGACCGCTTCCGGCATCTTATCCATCGTCGGAGATTCTTTAGGCAATGGACATATCACGAAGCAGGCACTGTACTTGAGATTCCAATTCTCACGAATTACCTGAAAGTCGCAGCGTACATTCGATAAATATATACTATATAATATTAGAATTTGGACGATATAAAAATATCGGATATTTTTAAATCATCGAAGATTATATTCTGTTCCAACAGTGAAAGCCAAACAATTTATTGTAACAACAATCTGATCGGCCGAATATATATATATATATATGTTATATCATGAAAACACCCCAATCATAATCACAAGGGAAAAAAAAAAAAAAAAGAAATCTTCGATTTCATCACAAGACTCGATTTGGCAAAAAACGTGAAACAAAAATATAACTTTAAGAAAGATAAGATTAGATTTTTCAATTACTGAAATATACATGTATATGTGTGTGACAAACTGTTATATCGCAACCGTTACTACATAGAAGTGTTCTTCCGAGTTTTGAACGATTAAAACCAAGATTGTTCCCTCTGGGAGTAACATACCTTAACTTTCGCAGCTACCGTTACCGAGGCAGTGATGTTTCCGCCGTTTTGTTGTCTATACCAGAGCCTACACCAGACGCGCTCGGGGCTTCTGGTTTTAGTAGCGCTGATTACGCGTACTACACCTTGACTTTTACCCGCCGGCGTACCTGCGCCGCTAACTCTGTCGTCGAAATACGCCGAGTAAACGAAGAATTTAAACCTAGAAGAATCGAGTAAAAGCACACACTTCATTTCTCTTCAATTCTTCGACGTATAATTAAATTTTCACCTTGTCCATAATACACATGTAATACAATCTAGATATCTAGAATAACAGATAAAGCTTTATATGTATATTGTTTGTACAATCTAATTTAAAGAAATAAAATAATACGGGGTAAAATCAAAGAATAAAAAGGTAAAACGCGTGTAAAATAGAGTTTTCAGAGATGTGGATTAAGATTTCCAATATACCTTGAAACAAGATTTATTTTATTTTGCGTGGCTAATGCACACCTTCTCAAAAATTTAGAATTTAAACGAGAGAAAATACGAGCGTCTCTAATTCCATTAATTATTCGATTGTCGCGTGATTATTAATCAGACGAACCTAGTATTGGTGACTGGTAACCATTCAGCATGCGTGACCTTTAGATTCTGATCCAACTGCGGTAAACGGGCCTCCAAGCTAGGCGGTAGGCTCGGTAAGCCACGCGGATCCGGGTGTATTACCGTCTTCTGCCCCGCGTCTTCTCCGCGAACCAACAATCCGACGTGCTCGTCAAAACTACCCTTCAAACCGGCGTAATCTTCGGCCTGGAAATATCAAGGTTTTAATGATATAGGTGTATATAATGTTTAACACTCTAAATTGTATCACCAATCGATAATCAACTAGGATTATCCATTTTATTCGCGATAAGGATAACGACACGTCTATTTGTGTGAGAAATCTTTAGTACAAAATCTGCTACAAACAGCTACATAGAGATTTGAAAATATTTCAAATATCCAATTTATGTTAAAATCAACTGCTGAATATCATAAGTAAAAAATATTATTTTGAATACATGTCAATTCTGATATCTTCATTTTTTTTTTAAACTTGCAATTGACGCCTCTTTTTTTGTATGGCATCTTTGCCATATACATTTGCGCGTACGATAATTTGCTTGCGGCAGCTTATCACTATGACTAGTGCCAACTTGTGGAGTCTTTATTCTACTCTACTGTGGCTAATTCATAGAATGATAATCATAGAGCAATTAAAACTTGTAAATTCAACTCGAGAGACTCGGTTCTTAAATTTAAACTCAAAGATTCTTTGGACAGTCAACCCCTGCGAGACGAGTTTTAAAGAATACTCGAGCTTTATCCCGCGGTGTCTTGACGGGAGATGTAAACGGATGAAGAAAGTTCCGCAGGATCGAGCAAACTAATTTGTCAGGTGGCCGTTCGTTCGTATCCGGTTAAACTTTTCCGCAACGCGATCGTATGTCTTTTCCGTGCCACGTTGGGTATCGTTCAAGCATGTGCTGCGCGGCTGTTTTTCCTTCAAAGTTCTTAAAGGTTCGCGTGAATCATTGTCCGGTACTAGACGCAAGGGTGCATAAACTATACCAGGCACGTTGCAACAGGCACGTCGCACGAAGGAAGAAGAGAGTGAAAAGAACGAAGGCGCGAGGCAGGAAATCGATCTTGTACGTGGTTGGCAAAGTTTTCGGTCTTTTCGCCCGAGTTTCGCCGTTGCTTATGCGTTTGCTTTGTCCACAGTTTCACACGAAAGAGAGAAAGAGCACACAAAGTCGACGCTCCATTCAGACGCTTGTGTCTTTTAGTTTGCAGCGGAAAATGTTTCGAAGATGCAACTGTGGAAACAATAGGATGGATAAATAGACTAGGAATATACAATACATCTCTCTCTCTCTCTCTCTCTTTCTACATATATATGTATTATACAATATAGAAAAATAAAGAAATTTTTATTAAATAAAAAAAAAAAAAAATAAAAAATAAAAATTACAAATTTGGAAGAAAACGTCACTCTTAAATTAAAAATAGAAAAAATATCATAAAACATAATGATCATGATATATATATATATATATAAAATTAAAAAAAATACGCAAAAGATAAATAAGAATGCTATCGTGGAAATAATTTTGTCGTATTTTTGTATAATTTTTTAATACGATCCAATACAAAAAGGGATACAAGTTCATCTTTTCCTCACTCTATTCGCATATATATATTTTTATCTTATAAACATTATAATATGCTCAAAATTATGTAATTTAGTTTAAAGAAGCTTTATTTTTATACACGAAGTAATTCGTCACAGAGAGCAAGTTTTTGTATAAAACTGAGGGGGAAAAAATACAAAAAATTGCGAAAATTCCATATTCGAACCTATACTTTAAATCCTATAAAATTTGTCTGATTTTACACTTTTGTGAGCGTAATTTAATGTATATGTAGCGAATGCCTTTTAGTGGAATTTCAGATATATAAATATTATAATAACACATATATTTATATATCATCAAAATTCCACATGTATAAACAAATGTATAAATATAAATAGATATAAATAGATTTGTCAAATTGTCAGACACAATTCTGATTGTGAGATATGATTTACAAATATTTAAACGCGATAGATCCGAACTGAAAATGACGATCATATCAATGACACCTAGTGTGCGTGTATGTACCGTACGTGCGATAAGAAACGTTATCAGAGAGCATTGACACCGACATAGAGATAAAAAACAATTTTTCATCGGGAAGAGTGGAAAGAATGATTAATAAAGTGATGTAGCAAGGGAGGAAACCTTATATAAATCGTTGAAAGACTGGAGAATATATATATATAGCATTCCCCTTTCTCTTTGTGGATACTTACTCCCACTTCACCGTAATCCGGACGATCGGGTGCAGCCGGCAATCGATGACCGCTCCTGTGACCCCCGAGTACGCCGGTGCCACCGACGCTCACGCCGCGCCTCTCGTCGATCAGAAATATCTCCGTAAGGACGATCAGACCAAACACGGCGAAGAACATGACGACCAGCATGAATGACATGTTGGCACGTTCCTTGAGGACACCGGCGTTTGCCCGGCTCCCGGAGCCGGATCTTCGGCTCGAGCCCATGCTCGTAGAGGCTCTGCAAGCGACAACCCTCGGCAAAGTCACTCTTGTCTAAATCAGATATCGGAAAGATTTTGCTAACTTTGGCGATACGAGAATGCTTTTCAAACATCTTTTTAGGCTACGTTCCAAAACGGTGTAAAATTTCCCCCGCGAGGAAAATTTTACTCGATGGCCGGCCTAAAACCAATCAAAAATGCTCAAAAAGGTTTCGGAACGGCTATCGAGTAAAATTTTTCTTGGAGAGTACGTTTTGGAACGTAGCCTTAATGTAGAAAATAAAGGGATAAAAACTGACGTTTATCGGGGATAAAAGAGAGAGAGAGAGAGAAAAACCTCGAAAATTGTACTTTTTATACAAACACATTGCGAATGAAAACATTATGCTTTATAGTCACGTGTCGACTCCAATACAATAATGTTTTCATGCCTGATGTTTACGTACAATAATATCTGCTATATGCTATTTGCCTCTGTAATTTACAATAAAATGATAAAGTTGATCACGAAAGAAGATCTTGGTGGAAAAAATGTGCTAACAAATTATGCGATAATTACTCTCTCTCTCTCTCTCTCTCTCTCTCTTTTACATATAAGAGCCTTATTAATCTTTTCTATTGCAAAACTCCTCCATAAGTATTTCTCGACATCAAACATCTCAAGATAAATTCGCAATAATATAAACCTTTTTATTCGCACGCCAATTTTTTTAATTTTTGCGCATATTTCTCAGTAATATTCAAAAACATCCGAATATGTATCGATCCAGTCGCATTTTATAGTAACAAAATAATCGGTAAAATAGTCGATTAGCGGTTTTTCTGATAATACGAAGAAATACGGCAATGTTTCGCTAAGTATAACGCGCACACATTCACACATTCAAAGAGGTAATACGGGATTTATAGAAACAGGTTAGCGGTACACATTGAGAAGCGGATATCGAAAACAAAGTTCTCTCAATCGTCGACTTCAGAGTTTCAGAGGAGATCGACCGCACAGTGTGTGCTCGAGTTTCAACGTAAAATGTTAGTTCGAAAAACTTTGTTTACCTGCCATGGGACAGAATTGCCGTTATCAATACTGCTGACGTAAATAAACAAACCCATTTTTGCGAATAAATACGAGCGACACTGTTCTTCTCGTGCATTTGTATAGCAAACAAAATACAATTCCGCATTTTGATTATGTGCCGCGACATTGATACAACAGCATCGTTAAAATTTACCCGCGGCTTTCATATGTAATTTGAGGGTTCATATTTACACACTCACACGTTTCTTTTCTTGTTTGTCCCTCATATAATTATACAATATAATTATAAAAATGTATAAACACTTGGTCATGTATGAAACACTGAAGAAAAAGTACGATATATAAATATATTATATGTGTGCAAATGCGAAAATTTTAAATTTTGATGTCAATTAACTTTACGTCTATTTGTATTGCGATTGAAATAATTATGGGTCCAGGGAATGAAATAAAAAACCGCTTTTCTTGGTTTACTTACTTAAAGTGGTTCCAAGAAAACTGCTGCCAAGCATGAGGATGGAATTTCCTAGAAATATAATTACTGATATTATTAATTCGCTTCTTTCTTCGTCTTGAATAAAACTTTTCGCGATTTGTATATACGTTTGTCGTAATTTCAACTCATAATATACATATATTAACAGCTGAACATCTCGCTCTTATATCTTTGATTTATCATTTTATTATCCGCAACGCGTTTTACAAAACGGAATAAAATTTAATAGATAAAATACTTTATAACATAATAATAAAATGATAAAAAAAAACAATAGCTATAAAAGATTATGGTTATTCATTTAAAAATTATTGGGAGATGAAGACTATTAATTTTGTGAGATCGAGATGTGTGATACATATTTATTTTCCAATGTTATAATTATATTGCCAATTATGAGCCAATTTATATCTTGTTTAATACTAATTTCTTATTAATACGTCAAAGCAGATTTAAAACATAATATAATTTTATATCAAAAAATTAGAACTCAATACACACAAAAATATTGCCGAATAAACGCATTAAGAAAGAGATACTATATATGTACTTGATAACGCGGCTTTTTTACGATATACATAACTGACTTTTCATTCCATGTGCATTAACGCAGACATGTAACCATATTGAGAATATTTTTACATGATACATATCTAATTTTATATGTATATATGTATGTATATAAAACATTGCAACGTGCGCGCTAACACAAGGAGCACTATAACATAAATTATACAAACTTGCAACAGCCGATACTTTTAATGATTGAGTCACGTGTGCGATCGTAAAGTGCTTTCATTGGTAAAAAAAGAGAAAAGAAAGAGATTTTGCGCCACCGATCAATCTACAAAATACGTACCGAGAATCCGATTGCATAGTCATTCGCAAAATTGTCACCATGCATCATATGCCATATTCACAAAAATATTAAATTCTTATTTCTTCTGAAAAAAATATATACAATATTTTAAAGCAAACTGTTATTTGCTCTAAAATATTGCGATATAATTAATCAAAGATGAACAATAATAAATTATTATTATATACGTGTACAAATAGTCTAACAATAAGTCTAAACGATAGCTTTTTATATAAATGTACATAAATTTGCAAATGTGTGTTATTGACTTTTTCCTGAAATATCAAGAGGTTTTTCATTACAAAAGTTAAGCATATCTGTCAAGAGTTGAGCATTATTAATTTAGTCTTATATTACATATAATTCACTTTTGTCATAATTATATTGTTTTGTATTTTCCTGCAATTATTTTGTTTCCAAAAACTTTGAATGTTTTAAATAAATAAATATGTTCTTTTGAAAAGTCTTGTTATCGAAAATATACATCGCAATTTATTTTTCGAAAACAGGTCTCATCTTTTACAAAAGGAAGTTCATTGAAATAGTAATATAAACAAATTCTTTTTGAACGCTATATGTTTTTAACGTGTCTCAGAAAAATATTTTTAATATGTCTAATCAAACATATTTTTAGATTTTTGACAGTTTAGATAGAAAATAGAATCGCAGTCACAATTTGAAAATATTTAATATGTAGATATTTTTACCTTTCTCTTCTTTTAAATTTAACATTAAATAAAGTAGATTATAAAATTATACATTTTTTGCAATATATCTTTTCTACATAATCTATAAATGAAGTCTCTTGTATCTAGATAAAATTTATACTATAAAATAAATTTTTCACAAATTTATATATATGTAAATATGTGTGTGTGTGTGTGTGTGTGTGTGTGTGTGTAAACATTAATTTTAATAATATAATAACTAGGGCCGGCCAGGGTACATGACACGAGATGCCGCATCAATTATCGCAGTGATGCTGCGACGTCAATAATTCGTCAGCGAAGAGCCGCAGTGAATAAATCCTTGCATGCTCAGCCAGCATTGATTCTTAACCCGAATTCACTTTTTCGATGCTTTATTCGCACCATCTTTTTGTTATATATGCCCGCTAAAGGAGTGAGCAACCAGCGAGAGCCTCGTTTCGACTATATTATACTGGTTTTGCATGAATGAAGAACGTAATCTAAAACCGTGATGCGCCGAGATATATACCAAGGAGTATCGCAATAAATTAACGACGTCGTTTAACGCTTTTGCCGACGGATAATATTACATTGCGGTGCAAAGGAGAGACGAACCGCGTCTATGCATTTAATTATACCCTACATTTACGTCAAAGATGACGCGAAATTACTAGTCTCGAATATGGCAAAAATTAAACTTAGAAACAATTATGTTAAAAATGTAAAGAAAATTTATATTGTATTAAATACTGCATTATATCATTAGCAAACACTTAATTTTTTTCATTTTTATATGCAATTATTTACAAATTATTTATCATCTTTTTATATTTATGAGTCAATAAATTTCTGAAAAAAATAAATTGTCGGATTTTTCGAAGAATCGTTCTCACTCTGTTTTATGGCCTATTCGTAGCTATGATATTATGTAATGTCAAAATAATAAAATGCTATGAATAAAATGTAAACGAAATATTCACTCGAAGTGATGACAATTCGCTTATAATCCATTGATTCATCTTTCGATTATTATATATTGTTTGGCGGTTACATCGCGCACGGAAATGAATGCAGAAAACCTTAAGGACAAACCGGTCAGTTTGACCGCAATAGATATTATTTCCTTCCGCCTGTTGCGTCGAATCGATTCTCTGAACTCGGCCATAATATGTTCGAACATTGGAAAATTTTCTCTTCTTTCTGACGTCGTGACCTATAGGTAACACGAGACACACATTGTCGGAGACAGTAAACTAGCATAGTTTCCCTCCTTGTCACTGATACCTAATGATGTCGGATCGCCTTTTTAAAACGATTAACTTTTACGAAAAAAAATCTCGGTAATATTAAAAATAGAGGAAAATTTGTATATTTTTTGAGTGGCAGAATAAACGCCATGTGATACTCTTTATTTGTATATATTTAGTTCCTAGAGAGAGAGAAAGAGAGAGAGAGAGAGAGAGAGAGAGATTGTGCATTTTATAGTTTCAAGAACTATGCGGTAAAAAATAATAAATTTTTAATAATATAATATCAATATTTTGAAACAAGGACTAATCATCTTGTAATGTTTCTAAAAACAAAAAGAAAATAATAGGAAATATTAAAAGGTTTTTAACTTGTTCTTTTCATAAACTTAAAATAATATAAAATATCATAGTAAACTTTTAAGCTGTACAATAAAAAAGTGGCTTCTTTCGATTCTTACACAATCATAGTAACGGTAATTATCAAAAAAGGAAAATAGATTATATAATTATATAAAAAAACTATTGAAATTTCTTCATAAATAACAGATAATTCATAAATGTGGCGTAATCGACTATTATATATATATCTACAAAATAAATAAGTCTCTCTCCCCTCTCCCCCTCTCACTTTTATTCGTGCTCAATCTACTTCAATATTTAATATTCTTAACTCCAATATAAATTATCGATTATTTATTGCACATTTATTGCTCGATACACGATATTTTTATCCAGGATCTTGATATTTAACAATGCTGAAAATGAACGATTCATTAAAGCAGACACGGAGGCGGGAATGATTTATTTCGCGATGGCAACAATAAGGCGGCCGTCGCCGCACACACTGACGATGAAATCGTCGTCGTTGCTAATTGCGGTACGACGCAGTTGTTCTTTGTCAACGACGACAACTGACAGTTTAATTGCAAATTTGAATGACAAGATTTTTATGATTCGCGAAAACGAAAGATAATAGTCGAACTATCATCGATCGATGATAGTTATAATTAGAAAATTATGCGCATTAAAGCCGAGAAAAAATACGAGAATCACACAAGGAGCAATAAAGGAAAGAGGAATGCAATATTATTTGAATATTTCCAAACGTAACATCCAGAAAATGTTTACTCAATATTCATCAACATTCATCCATGTTTACTCAACATTCATTCAACTAATTTGAATTCGGAATAAGTAAATTTCATAGTATTGTACGTTAGAGAGAAGAGAGGAACCATATCTTATACTTTTATATTACGTAATATATTGTATATTCAAAAATAGACATAAAATATATAATTTTTCCTATAATTTTGAAATATGCTTCTGTTCACGTATCTTTTTCACGTAAAAAATCGTGTGTGTGTACGAGATATAAATATTTTTTTAATAATTTCTATTTTTAGAAATGTCAAAAAATTTATATAAGAATAAGCATAAAATAAATTTTTACTCAGCTAATTTTTTCTATAATTTCTCTTATTGTTAGATCTTCTTATTCTTATTATTATGTTTAATATGCGCATGCCTTGTCAAATAATTCCCAAACGAGTCAACGTATCAACCTCCAGTTTGCGCCAAAAAATTTCTTCTTTTATGTCCTTTCAAACAATATACTACAATATGAGGGATTCTATTTGAAATTTTTGCGTTGGGGTCCCCCTAGGGCACCCCCTTGGGAAGACAAGTTTCTTAACCCCTTTAAAAGAGTAGCCCCTTTGAAATAATCGAACACGTATTTCGCGATTTTTCATAATTTTGAGTCGTTTCCGAAATATAGGGGGTGGGGACAAATTTTATAGACTCCCTGTATATAAACTAATCGATTATTGCTGATATAACCGGGCAATGACATGTAAAAAGCATAGGATAAGATGTTTTTATGTACGAGATCCATTTTCGAAAACAAAGCTCTGTTTATATACAAAAACTTTTATTTTATATGTTCGATTTATTCCTGCATGTAATAATCGCTGTGAATAAAATTCATGATTGTAACTGAAATTAAAACTATAAAAATATTCCGATAATAATATGAATATCGCAAAAAGATGTAAAAACAGAGAATCCATTAACATTCACGCGAAATGTCAGTTTCCATACGCACGATATTTGTATTGCGATTTCCATGTCTTTCTATATACGCGGAATGACGCAGATCATTATCGTGACAATTGAAAAAGACAAAAGATGCGATTTTTCATAAATCGCATGTGCTGGCACAGAAAAAAAAAAAGAAATATAATTTTGCTCACTCTTGATACAGATGTGCTATAAGCACATGGATACGAGTATGTCACGTAGTGCGATACTTAATCCTCTTATCAACTCGAGGTCGTTTTATCTAGTATTCGTATGCATCGACCAAACGTTCATCCGTCGGGATTACATAAAACGGGCAATAGAGAAAAGCGATCAGTAAACTGTCCCAGTAGTATCGATAGCAATGGGAATGATTTATTCTCGCTTCCGTTTCCGAGTTAAATTCATTCGTTGGAAAAGCGAAGGAAAGTCGTTGATAGAAAAGATTTTATGCCTAATACTGAATGATATTGTACCATCGATTACAGAGGTGATGGTACTGTTTGAAATTATAAAATCCTGTCAGCTACTATAATTTGTTTATTTTCAATGGTAATTATAACTAATAATAATGGAGAAACAAATGAAAGTACATCTCGAAGAAAAGTCATGTTAAAGTTTACTTTCAATACTAGACGATGTAGCATGCCGAATATAAATTACGATTTATATTACGATTTATATTGAGATTTAATATTAAAATTATTCGATTCTGTTTTAGTTGTACGGAATTAACTCAACGAGAAATTTTAAAAAACAATTACTAAAAAAATATTGCAATGTTACATCCCTACAAAAAAAAAAAAATAAATAAATAAATAAAAAAAAATAAAATTCATGATTGTAACTGAAATTAAAACTATAAAAATATTCCGATAATAATATGAATATCGCAAAAAGATGTAAAAACAGAGAATCCATTAACATTCACGCGAAATGTCAGTTTCCATACGCACGATATTTGTATTGCGATTTCCATGTCTTTCTATATACGCGGAATGACGCAGATCATTATCGTGACAATTGAAAAAGACAAAAGATGCGATTTTTCATAAATCGCATGTGCTGGCACAGAAAAAAAAAAAGAAATATAATTTTGCTCACTCTTGATACAGATGTGCTATAAGCACATGGATACGAGTATGTCACGTAGTGCGATACTTAATCCTCTTATCAACTCGAGGTCGTTTTATCTAGTATTCGTATGCATCGACCAAACGTTCATCCGTCGGGATTACATAAAACGGGCAATAGAGAAAAGCGATCAGTAAACTGTCCCAGTAGTATCGATAGCAATGGGAATGATTTATTCTCGCTTCCGTTTCCGAGTTAAATTCATTCGTTGGAAAAGCGAAGGAAAGTCGTTGATAGAAAAGATTTTATGCCTAATACTGAATGATATTGTACCATCGATTACAGAGGTGATGGTACTGTTTGAAATTATAAAATCCTGTCAGCTACTATAATTTGTTTATTTTCAATGGTAATTATAACTAATAATAATGGAGAAACAAATGAAAGTACATCTCGAAGAAAAGTCATGTTAAAGTTTACTTTCAATACTAGACGATGTAGCATGCCGAATATAAATTACGATTTATATTACGATTTATATTGAGATTTAATATTAAAATTATTCGATTCTGTTTTAGTTGTACGGAATTAACTCAACGAGAAATTTTAAAAAACAATTACTAAAAAAATATTGCAATGTTACATCCCTACAAAAAAAAAAAAAATAAATAAATAAATAAAAAAAAACGAAGGTTACGAAAAATAATTTGCTTAATCGTTTGTGCCTGTAATCATATGTAATTGCATGCTAGAATGTACGGCACATAGAGAGTCCAGTCCAATTTTTTCCAGTTTTCATTATTATTTCACGTGTATAATGTCCAAAGTTTCTTTTTCCTTACTTTAATATGCAAATAATAAGTACAATAAAACCAATAATATAACAATAATGAAGCATCCAAGTTGATATTGAGTAAAACATTGTTGGATATATTGTCGACAATTAATAGAATATCACATGGTATTTATCCGCGTTTATTGACGATGCATTTATTTGGCAATGATGAAAATTGAACTAAAACGATGATACAATCAAATGTACGGATACAGGAGTTACATTAAAAATATATATTTGTATGCGATAACGTCAAATGCAGTTTCAAGATAAAACAAACCCGGATAACTATTACGTAATTTAATCAACCATATTATAAGTTTAATGAAGCTTGCTCCGTAAAATAAGCATGCAAAGATTAATCTAGAGAGAAAGAGCATTAAAAGAGACACAAAAACTGATGATATATTCGAAATGTAAACGATGTAAAAATTCTAGAAAATAGGTTTTGAATAAAATATAAAATAAATTTATATATAGCAAAAAATAAGTTACAATTATAAAGCTGGAAGTGGAAAAGAAATAATTATGTTGTAAATTAGTCTAGCACTTTCAGACTTCTTTTAACTAAAAATCCATAAAGGATTCCTTTGTAGACAGTGTTCTCTGCTTTAGAAAAGCAGAAATGTGAAAATAGAGCGGGAAAAGATGGAAATATTGTATTTTTAAACTTCCTTTCAAAAAGAAAAATATAAAAGTTGCAAGTGTGCGTGATGCAATGACAAATGCCTAAATTGTGCGTAAATTTATTATCGGAATGCGCATAAAATTTAAAGTGCAAATATAATGGATATACTCGACAAAGTTAATTATCCAACTGCACGAATGTGAAAGATAAATGATTTTTTTTTCAAACTCTTATCTTTTTTATAAAATCGCGCGTCCTAGATTCTTCCTGGATACTATTCTTTCCGCCTAGAAAAGGCCGCACGGTCGACGATTTAGCATTGATACAAGTACGCGTCGCGTTTACGCGAATCGCGAGCAAGGCGAATCAATTTACGAAAGCGTCTCGCAAAAGCTCCGTATCGCTCCGCAGAGAACGAAAAGAAGAAAAAGAAACGGAAGGAGAAAATATAAAACATGGAGCATCGAGCCACGCGTGTATGTAATGGTGCCTTTCCACCTGAGAGTAAATCTCTCGAGAGTAGCTCTCGAGAGTGATTCTTGCAAATGGACATACCTTTGAGAGTATCTAACTCAAGGGTATGTCCATTTGCGATAATCACTCTCGAGAGTTTTACTCGCAGGTGAATACGCATCATAAGTCGCCCGTCTAACAATCGACTTCCACGAATGACACGCCGATTACCTCATCGAGGAAATTAGCATATTAATTATCGCGTGGGCGTGACGGCACGTGGGTGTATCTAACTCAAGGGTATGTCCATTTGCGATAATCACTCTCGAGAGCTACTCTCGTGAGTTTTATTCGCAGGTGAATACGCACCATAATATGTATGCATGTACACCGACCTCGGTGAAGCAAGCAGCGGCGCAACCCTCGCGCATCTTGCATGCATCACGATTCTCGCGTATCACTGACGAAGCGAAGCAAACATTCTCGACACTCTCGACACCCTCGAGATGACCGATAAGAGATCAAGAGAAAATTGCTACTCACGATTAACCCTCGATATCCACGCGATGTCCTATCATTTGGCCGCGGTGCCTCGACATCCCTCTGACAGCTGTCATCATTGGCAGTGGCCGTGCGTCTCGTGCTCATATCGCGACAACGATCTCAAGTGTCGCCAATTATCGGGTAGACAAACAAAAAAAAACGTAGTGTATACGGCGCTCTATCGCGATCAATCGCGACACGCGACCGCGAATAATTCCGCGATTCGGGGGGAGAAAAAAGGGACGAAATTCGCGCGACGAGCCGAAGAAAAGATACACCGAGCAGGCCGCGAGACAGATAGGCAGGCAGACAGGTAAATAAGCACGCGCGTAACGTCTTTTCTGCCTGCTGGATCAACGTCGATCGGCTAATCGCCAACAGACACTACGATAAGCCGAATGAAAGCAAAGGAGCGAGCGAGCGAGCCAGAACGAGCCGCGCGAAACCGAACCGAACCCCGCGAACCGAACCGTCGACGACGTACGACGTGAACGCCGACGACCGTCGCATCGATCCGAGCACCCTCTACCACCCGCCGCTGCGATTGGTTACGTCACGCGCTGCTCTCGCGCGCCTGCGTGCACACCTGTAATCGAAAGGGCGCGTTCGGAATTCAGAGGCCGCGGATGCGATTCGACGCGATTCCATCTGCTTCTCTACCATAGTGCAACGGGTCACAATCGACAGATGGGTGAGAAACTTTGGTGCCGGTAAGTGGCACGAAATATATATATATATGTATGTGTATATATACAAGTGGTAAGCAAGTCAGTATAGGCGTATATGTAAGAAAGAATGGAAATATATATATAAAGACTGTTAAGGCCTTTTCAGATTATCTATTTATATCTATATAATTCCCGATAAAATCCAAGACAATATTCTTTTTATAAATTTTATGTGTGTAATGTAATACAGAAAATATTTGATTTTTACAGAGATATTATTTTAAAACGCGTAAATACAAATTAAAATATTTATAAATATTAAAATAACGCAATAGTTATGAATAGAACTTTATTTTTAATTTTGTTGCGAATTATAAATCGTTTAAAATTAGATATTATTTAACATAAATATGATCTATTTACAATATTATATTCACACAATATCATTTAACGCTAACCATGTAAAATATTCAAAAGAAAATTATCATTATTGAAATGGACAACAATATTTCGGTAAAATATGACTTTCTGGCATATATTTTGAATACAAACTAAAATATGATTTATCGTATGAAAACGATGATTTGCACATTATAAGCGGTATTTATAATATTGCTTCAATTTTTGTGTACATAATTATATAGAATTAGTAAGCTAAATAACTAGTGCAAACATTCGCATAAAATATTTTAATTATGCAAAATTCAATATTCTTATCTCGCGGCTATATGATACGCGTAATATGCATAATAAAATATAAATACTGTAAATGAAAAAAAGATATATATATATTGTTTTTCGAGAATTATTTATTTCATTTATTAAACAGAGAAAGTGTATGTTTACATATATATATAATCAAAATTATAATCAAGGATCCTAATTATAATTTTGAATTAATAATTTTGGACAGTATGTATTATTAATTGATCTAGAAAATGATCGCTCGTCTTATAAAGAAATGTTATGAAATAAAGGCCAACAACCTTGTCGTTGATGTAACCCGTCCATTGCCTTCTCGATGATAAAAATAATATTCATCAATATTCATATAATTAAACGATTTGCGTAAATAACACCTTATAATTTATTTTAAAAATTATAACGAATACACATCTGTTATGGCAGTAACACGATCGATTCAATCAGCAAATTACAATTTCATCTAAAAACAAAAAAACGATGCATATGCAATTAGTATCATAAAATTGTTATTATAAAATTATGATATTATATTTAATGCGGCTATATTATCGCGCCAATAGAGAGTATAAAATGTGGACAAATTTATTCCGCACATAAAATCTTTTAATATTCAAAAGTTTTCTTAAAGTTACAAAATAAAAAAAATTATAAAATGTTGGTCTTTTTGATGAACGATAAATAATTCTCTGCGGAAGCGATGAATCAATAAAATAATCTCAACAAAGCCATTTGATAAGCTTAAAATACATCACACTAGTTAACTGTTATTAATATATTAATACTTAAAAAAATATATTTAAAAAATATTATACAATAATTAGATCGTTATCCAGAATGCGTGTTGGATTGCGAATGATTTTAAAACACACTGATAGATTCTAGTAAGATACTACGAAATTCTTATGACAAATTGATACATCTCACATATACGTATAGATGAAGAGATTTGTATTTTACACGAAATATGAAACCAAGTTTAGAACACCGCGAGTTATTATATCAATCGGCCACTGCTAAAATCGTTATACAATAGAAACAATATGGTGTATGTTCGAAGTGTAATATCAGCACGAGGCGATGGATGCGGGAGACTCCCTAGGGGGAAAAGGGGAAAAGCCGTCATAAGTGATTCGGTATGCGCATACGTGATGGTTATAGGTCGCCGCACAAATGCCCATGATGTTCGATCGCAACTGCATATATAGCCGCAATGCAAAATCCCTTCCAGTATGAGTCTGCCGAGTCTGTGGATGCACAGTAACGTCTTTCGCGACGACATGAAAAAGTTTTTCCAAGCCATAACCGAATGCAAAATTCCTATTGATCCCTCGAGGAACAATTTTTTTATTTATTTTCCTTCTTTCTTCGAAAAGAAAGTAGCGGACATAATAAATTCGCAAATGTGTGTTTCCCGAATGTCACGTCGCGTCACATTCGAGCCGGTTGATATGGAAATTTTTGAATATCAATTAATGACCCCGAGTAAACGCCGGGCGCCGGGCGTGTCCTCCTCAAAAACGCAGAGGCTTATAAATTTGCAAACTTGCGCACGCGTAGCATGTCGAATTTTATAAAACGCGAAAAACTTTGAAATCGTGATCTTTTCACATCTCATCGAATAAAGAAAAAAAGAAACTGCCGTAAATGTTCGTAAATTTACAAACTAATATAGTCATAACATAAATTCTAATGATGCAAAAATAAGATGTAAAAAACCTGTAGAATAGGACTTAACGTAAAAAAAATTGCGATCATGAATGAAAATCTCAAAACAAACCATTTGAAAAAGAAAGCAGCAAAGTGTGAGAATTTGAAGTTTTACCTGAAAATATCCGCGTTATGCTGCCAGACGATTTACAACAAGTCGCGAGTGACGGATCGTAACATATCAAAGTCTGCTTGGCATCCTCGCACCAATTCCAAAAAATGAGCTTCTGATCTCGCGCTGCGAGATCCGATACGAGTAGCGCCAGGTTTTTCGCGACTGTGGCATCGATCCTAAGCACGTGACGACCCTCCACTATCACGGGCAAGTTTTCCAATCTCTTGTCGCACCTAAACACGCAAACCGGAAACAAATATCTCTCTGATACATATATAGCATGTCTCGAGAAAAAGAAAAGTACAAGCGCGTAGCATTACCTTGTGAAAAAATTTATAGATAATTTTTCTTTAACGAAAATATTGAGACTCTCCAAGTTTTCGAGGTATAATCATTGAAATTGCAGAAATATAAATTTATAAAGAATAAGAGATTTTTTATCATGTTAAATTTTGTTTTTTACAGAATATTTATTCGAATCATTTCTTATAAGGATTCGCGGCGGAACTTACCACGACATTATTCGCTCTCGCAGATACTCCGCGGCCGGGAAACTCAGGGATTGCTTGGGAGATACGAAGAGCACGGTCAAACCATCGACGATCCGCTCTTCGATCAATAGCCCGGGCCGAGCGGCGAAATAGAGTAAGAGAATTAGATTTACCGCAATCCCAGCGATCATACCATACTCCAAACCGATCGCCAAGCAACATAATAACGTCACCGTCAATGGCACCAAATCGATTTCTGTTCAACGCCAGAGAACGGAGAAGACGTAGAGAAACACTAGATTAATCTCCGGATAATTTATAACGAGCTATATTTAATGCCCTGTGACCTGATATTGTATCGTTGCAGTAGCTTTCATTATCCTTGACAATACTGTGATATTTAATGTATAATTACAACTAAACAATTATACCTGAGAAAAAATTGATCAAGAATTTACACTTTTATTTAGTTACTCTATTTTTTATTGTTTTTTTTTTATGATTTAGAGTGTAATCAATCAATCATTCTTCAAATCAATTTTTCTTATACTTTTAAATTTACAAAAAAAAAAAAAAATACGGGTTTATGTTCATTTATTTGAGTGTAATCTCAAATTGTTAAAAAATTCTGTTTTTGCATATCGAGCTATTGTATAAATAAAAAATTCAAATACTTTTTATTGGTGTGCCGTCAAATTAGAAAATAAAATATTAAAAAATATCTCGAATGAGAAAAATCGAAATATTGGTTCTATATCTATACCCGGAAATATATCTATTTATATATAGATAGTTAGTATGAGATCTTACTTTTTGTTCTCCAAAGAACGATAAAGATATGTATTTCGAACATATAAAACATGGCAATTATGATGACGGCCGCTAGCGTAGCTTTGGGAATAAATTTGAAAGTGGACGTCAAGAGGCCACATGCCAAAAGCACCAAACTACCCGTAATCACACCGCCCATCGGCGTTTTGACACCGGATGCGTTGTTGACGGCGGTACGAGTGAAACTTCCGGTTATGGGCATCGATCTCACGAAACTGCCGAATATGTTGCAGAGACCGAGCGCTAACATCTCTTGATTAGCATCGAGAGTATTTCCCTTCGCTGAAAATTAATCACAGATTTTCAGAATGATCGCAAAATTTTGCTGAATAAAATGCTATTGAAGATTCTTGCAATGCAAAAAAGAATAAGGTAATTTTATATAATCTATTTTTTAAGATTTATTTTATAAATTTACGTTATACATATATAAAATGGATATTTTAAATTATAAATGTATTTTATTCTTGCATTAAAGAGAGCTCTCTTTCGATTCGTAACATTATTATTATTCAACTTATACAGCCAGATCATTAATTTTGAACGTTATATTAGCGAAAGAAAAAGTGTGTTGAAATAATTTTATTAAAAGCTTATATTCTAAAATTGTAGACACGCGTGTGCCCAATTAAAATGTCTTTTAAAAAGAGAAAAGGATCCATCGCTATCGATATTTTCTATTTACATCAAAGTTAATCGAAAGTAAATCTCTTTAAATGAAATTTAATTTAAATGAAATAAAGTTTACTTACCGAATGTTTTTGCGATGGCAATGCTTTCCAAAATGGCAATAAGTGGTATTGAAAGAATGCTACTGCCAAACTCTCTGATCAACATCACAAAAGTATACGTGTGGTTTCCGTTGATGACAGTGAATGGAGGCAAAGAAAATGGTGGCAAGCCCTCGGTTATATTGCCCGTAATTTGAAAAGGCTTGATTTCGTAAGAGAATAATACGTAGGCTATAAGAGTTCCAATCATCACAACTATGGCGTTTCTGGCTAACGAAATTAGCCACATGAATTTCTCAAAAGGACTTCCCGATTTCTTACCAGGTATTTTCTATATTTTTAAATATTTTATTCCATTAATTATATTTTTCATTATATCTCGTAATAAGTGACTACACCAAGAATAATCGTGTTCATTTATTTTACTAAAACTATAAGAAGATTTTATAATATGTGATCGCAGTCTGGTATAATTTATTTCATTAAATATATACAAAATAAATTTTTTTATTAATAGCTAATCTGCTAATTAAGATTTGAACAGTTTTTAAGAAAAATTATAAAGCATCGCACAATTAATATTAACAATTCGTTAAATTCTCGATTAAATCTTTTTAACAATAAAAAAATATTAACGATATTAAAAGCCTCATTGATTAAGAAAAAGTTGATAAAATTTTGAAAGCATTCTTTCGAAAAACGAATCCTTTGCGATAACCGAGGTAAAATCAATTATACCTTTAGGAGAACCAGCATCACCATCGAACACACTCCTAATGCAGTATCCCAAAGTTGAATTTCATTTATTTGATTGATGACCTTTGAGATAGCATCGATAAAAGAATCGCTGCGTCCCTTTATGCCCAGCAGGGTATTTAATTGAGAAGTAGCGATAATAATCGCCGCAGCGTTACTAAAACCACAAATTACGGGCATACTTATAAAATCTACGAGAAATCCCAAGTGAAGCATTCCCATGATTGTAATCACAGCACCCGATAAGAAACACATGAGAACCTAAAAAATAATTTTATCCAACTTAATGAAAAGTTAAAGTGTAAATATATATATATATAAAATATATTTCTTATAAATATATGTATATTTTAAATCAATTTATTTCACAAAACATGTTCTTACGGCATCCACAGCCTTTCTTTACAGTATCTCTTGACATATAGTTTTTCTGAAGAAAAGAATTGTTTTTGGAAAATAACACTTAAGTCTTTTTATATCAAATCTTTAATTATATTATTATATTCGCAGATATCTCTAAAAAAAAAAAATTATAATTTTTCGCAGTCGGTAGGACTCGAACCTACGCTCCCAGAGGGAATCTGATTTCTAGTCAGACGCCTTAACCACTCGGCCACGACTGCTCTGCGCGAACAATCTCTTTTCTTTAATAATAGTAGTGTGTCTAGAGTAAGTAAGAAAATATTAATACAATTTGATTACATTTATATTGCAAAATTCCTTTAATTACAAAACATTGTATCAGCGGATAAAATAAATAAACATTTATCAAGACATGAAAGGTAAAGTTTGATGATCAGTTTAACATTTTTTTAATATAAGACACAGATCGCTATATCCTTGTTAACAATAATAAAATTAAATGTATATAATTAAAGAATAAAGTGGTGAAAATGATATAGAATAATAAAAACAAAAAATGTACACATGCAAAACTATTCGTAAAATAAAGATATCGAATAACTATTTACATTTGTTCATAATAATTTTGGAATCATGCATATGAGTCATAACGAAAAGTGACACGGAAGTGCGATGATAGTCCTTATCGATCGGAGTGCAAATGACGTTGCGCAAAAAAATGTGTCTGAGAGAATTAAAACTTACTCGATAGAAGCGGTGTCGCCTCGTCAAGCCTTCGTTGCGAAAGTGACATTTCACACTATCAGAGACCACACAAGAGGAATAAATGTGTCATCTATCCGCGTACTTCATCCGTGTTTCCTATGTGATATGCTTTGACTAGATGAAGAAGAGTCGATAAAGTAGAGAGTGCGCGATCGAGCACGATCGATCACATGCGTAATCCCCGAGCGATGACGTATAAACGTGATATGTAATTTTTTACGGTCTCGAACTCGTTCATCGCCCGATACGTACGTATGCACGTGCTGATATCTTTTCTATCGCATACTAATTTTTCCTGTCACTAAACATAATAGTATTGTGAATAAACTCGATAACAAGTTCATCAGTTTCTCGAGGCACACACAAAACGTACATCTTGATCCTGTAATAAAAATTATACAATCTTCACAAATACAAATGCTAACAGTATGTAAAACTAATGTAATGTCATAAAAAGTTTATGACATTCAAACATACAAGAATAAGAGTTTTATAATAAATTTTTGTATGTACAGAGTGCGGGTGAGCGTAATATACGAGCTGTGTGTATGCGTTATTGGATGTACGGAGAGCGAAAATAAACACGTGCGTAAATTATAGAGTGTTATGCGTGTGTCTTACGGACAGAGTGCATAAATGGATCGATATAATTTGCATGCATGCAGTGCGATTAGAAGAAAACCGGCGCGACACCGACACGGGCGTCAGACCGCGATATCTCGGGCGAATCGAGCATGGATCGAAACTCGAAACGGTACAGCGACGGCAGGGCAGGCGTCGCTACCGATCAGGATATCGAGCCGCGAGCGGTGATCCAGAGCCAGGGCCGCGAATGATGATATTTGCGCTGTAGCAAATAGACGCGGTAGGCGGTATCGCGAGTTGGATGCGACATGCGACGTCGATTCTCTATTCGGCGAGTTCGAGCGATAGGGCCGTAGTACGGCCCACTGCGCACGGTATCATTCTCCGACAAAATGGCGAGGCGACGAGTGGCGGATGATCGGCCGATTTTTTTTTTTTTATTATTACTTATTCGCCTTCGCGGCTCCCCAGATGTGCGTGGGATGATCGGTATTCACGGCGGAGAACATTTTATCAACTTGAGCCGATCGGATGCAGGATTTTGCACATCGGTTAACGAGAACACGATGTAATGCATATATATGTATAATGAATTGAATTTCGTTTAGCTTATCAGTCGGATAATAAAACACGAGTGTATGGTGGAGAATTGTTTATAAGAAAACATATCATTATTCGATATCGCGAGAAATGCGTGATGTATTCGCTACGTATTGCAAAGTTTTAAATCATATTCACAATTAAATGACATAATAATCATGCTAAATTAGCAGTACGTCACATTGTAAACTGCAATTAATGCGAGAATCGTACACGAGATTAATCCATCAGCAACGTGTTATCGAGCAATTAAACATAATAATGACTCGACATATTCTAATAAAACAGATGAAATCAATTTCCCCAATTTTTAACAAAAAAAAAACTCACGTGATCGTAGACATGAATGAAAATATTATAATAAGAGCAAAGAAAATTTTCATGAGAAAAATTTGTATATAATTTTATAACCATATATTGTATATAGTCTATATTTGATCCTCTTCGATTCCTAATTATTTTTTTTTCAAACATTCTCAAGTATTGCTGACAAAAAAAATTTTATTATATTTTGTAAAAACAGAAATAGAGATGAAAAATAGTGTAATTGTTTGCTAATTTTTCTACTGCGTCAAATGTTGTTTTTTAACTTTTCTCGTCTTGAAACATTTTTTATTACAATGTAAATTATAGCGAACGAGCAAACCCACAATTTTATCTGCTGTATATTTAATGACGCTATTTCGGAAAAAAGTGGAAATTAAATGACGGCAAGAATATAGAATGCGGAAAATGTTCATTATAAATCCATAATTTATCATATTTTTCGCTGCATGGTTTATTGAAGATACGTATTAAAACGTAATTTGATTTCGATTGTTATTTCAAATAGGTGGTATAGTTTGCACAAACGATTCCAAAACACGTTTCAATTTTACGTAATCAATTACATAACCAGCTACATCGTTAGTGAAACAAAAATATTCATCTTTGGTGAACGCACCACTCTATCCAGCCATCAATCTTTTACTTGCGTCAGCCAATCGATCGAGAATTAAAAAATTAGTAATTACGAATAGATTAAATGCAGTCGTACAAGTTATTGCATAGATATGTGTTTAATTATTTATTTATTTTGTATAAAAATATTAATTTAAGAATTTATATAAATCTAATTTCATAAATTTTTATGATTTATCATCATAATTCTAAATCATAACAGGAAGAACATAACTTTATATTAGTATGTATTATACTACAATTTATTATTATAAAAAAAAATTATATATATGTATATCACAAGATTTTCCTCATATCATATAATATTAGTATATTCTTAGAAAACATTATGACTAATAACGAGCGTGAGAGAGTTTTTATTCGTCTTTCTCATTTCAGAACGCGGTTTTGAAATATCAACCGATTTATTTGCTATTTATGTGATGCATGGAAAAAAATTTCCGTCGCATTTACAACAAATCATTCATGCAAATTATTGCATAATATATATTACATAAGATATATCATTCGAGAGATTCACGAATATAACTCTTCTCTCGTAAACACATTACATTAATACATTACTTATACATTACATTATATGTGTATACAATGTTATTAATTTTGTACAGATTTAACAGAACGAAATTTTATTAAATTACTTATTGTTAATAATAGAGAAACTATGTGTAGAAAAATTTTAAAAATTTTATCTTTCTTCGTAAAAATATACTATTTAAATATGCGCTATTATCTGACAATAAATTATTCTGCGTACAGAGGCGACAAAATTGTATGTATATTATGTGTACGCTTTATGTGTCATCGGCACGAAATTAAGTTTAAATATCTTTATACATATTATTCAAAGCTGTACAATTGCGCACTTAATAACGATTGATACTGATATCGTACGCGGGAAAAAAAGTCCAGCAAAAAAATCTCCATTATAAACCAACACAAAAAGCGGAAACGACGAGGATGGGATTCGAACCCACGCGTGCAGAGCACATTGGATAATATTGCTGATTGCATGTTTTACAGCTTAAATTGTATATATCGTGAATTGTGATTTTTTTCATGACGGATTCTTTCACAAATATAGCCTTGATTTGAAAGTTTAGAAAATTTATTTGTAGTACGATTGATGTAATCATAGTAGTACAATTAATATATTATATATATGTAATGTTAAAGAAATAGAAAAATTGAATTAAGAGAGAAAAGGTCAATTTTTTTATTTAAATAGATATTTAATTATATAAGATAAAGAAAGCTTTTTTCTCTTACCTAAAATTTTGTATATTACATAAATAATTTATAGTTTATGTTTATAATTAAAACAATTAGCAAGGATATGCCAAGATCAACATTTTAATTGCAACTTTTCAATTTTTAATATAATATCTTTATAACTAATAAGGCTAAAATTAAAATTCTATCAAAATAAAATCTACTTGGAATTAAACAAAGAATATGATTTTATTAGCTTCTTGTTTTTCTGTATATAAAGTATAGTATTTAAAAAAAAAAACTTTTATTCGATGCCAAAAGGGGACACGTTTACCGAGGCAACTCGTCCGTTGTAACACTTGTATATATCGCTTGTTACGTTACTTTACACGCACACATATATATATATATATATAATAGTATTTTTAAAAAAAACTTATTTTTCTGATCGCTTATAACTCAGAAAGTTGTTCGGACATTGTAAAGAGAAAACGGAAAATTTATCAAAAAATTTACAATTCTTAAAAAGAAATACACTTTGGGACATCTTATATTGTTTCTGCCAATTTCTGTAATATTTATATCTAGTTTGTCTTCGAATTAGATGATTTCTTTCATTCTGCACGTGGGGAACATCGCAACGACCTCGAACTTACGCAATTGTGCACAACGCGTGCAATCATGAGATTTACCGGAATATTTGTGCGATCCAATTGTCTCGCCCCAGTGACCAAGAATAATCGGTATTATTAGATCAACTCCAATACAGTTCCAAAAATCTCTCCAATCAATCA